TCCTAGTCTCTTGTGTGCCAACCCACAAATGTCGTGGTTCTACTTGTTTTGATCAGGCTCACTGAAGACGGCTCCTCTTTGCTTCTGATTGTTCCTTTCTCATCCCCCTGCGATCTCTTTTGCTAAAATTGAGGATATTACCTTGATCCAGTTGTCTTCTTTTTGTTAGTCATAACGTTGCCTGGTCTTCTCCTCGTTTAGATAATAGGCAAATTTTTCGCTGATCCTGCCTTCTTCAAGTCTCCTGATCATTAGATTCCTTTCAGCCAGTATATCAATGGTCTCTCGGATCTTGCGTTTTCTCGTGTTTTCCCCATATCCAGCCAACTTATCAGTCGATTTCGTGTCCCGTTCGTGCAGTGTTCCGCTATTTCTGTGTATCCATGTTCCTGCAGAGTCTTTGATGTTCCTTGATTCGTAGGCCGATTTTTCTTTCTGTTTCACCGATATACTTCTGCTCACAGTTGCCACACTTGATGCGATAACTCCCGAGCATTCAAGTTTGTCAGTCTTCTCGTGTTGCGTCGGCAGACTGGTGAAAAGTGTTGTCTTCTTTGCTATTCCATGCCCTTAGTAATGGTCGCAATTGTTGGCTCAGTTCTGATGAGGGCAGGCAAATCCTCATTCCTGATATGATTTTCATAAAATCCAAGTTGAAATTGGCCCTTTATAATCTCTACATTTTTTTCCATAAATGTTCTGGGGTATCCGTTACTAAGGCAAATCCGTGTCAGTTTGTCCAACTCCTCGTCCCAGAAATCATTGTCCGTTAGTCGTAAGCTTTTGATGATCAAACTCTTCAGTATTCCGATATTCAGACTGTAGTTATGATGAGGCTGAAAATTACGGATTATTCCCACATATTAATTCTTTCTGTATAGTCTCCTCATGAGTGTCCCCTTGGAGCATATGACTTCAGTATCCAGAAAGGGTAGTCGTTCATCCTCCTCCACCTTCATTGTGAATTTAATTCTTTTGTCAAGTTGGTTAATAAAATTGAGAAATTCATTTCCTTACCATGTGACTAAAGTGCAAAATAGTCATCCAAATATCGCATGAGCGCTCTTGGTTGC